GAAAGAAAGAAAGAAAGAAAGAAAGAAAGAAAGAAAGAAAGAAAGAAAGAAAGAAAGAAAGAAAGAAAGAAAGAAAGAAAGAAAGAAAGAAGGAAGGAAGGAAAGAAAGAAAGAAGGAAAGAAAGAAAGAAAAGAAAGAAAGAACTGGAGGAGAAGCCAGGGTTTGGGATTTGAGGTTGGGGATGGGGGTGAGTGACAAGTTCAGTTTAGACACATCAAATTTGAGAAGCCTGTGAGATGCCCAGGGTGCAGTTGGGTCTAAAGGTCAAAGAGAGAGGGGTAGGCAGGTGGAGGGTCCTGGAAAGTGGAAAAGATCACCCAGAGAGGATGTGCAGAGGGAGCAGAGGAGGAGAACTCAGGGACCATCCTGAGAAAACAGCGTGTATGAGCCAGGCAAAGGATAAACACTCCTGACAAGTCAGGCTGGAGGAAAACCAAGAGAAAGGAGTGACAAGGATGCCAAGGGAATTGGCCACTGGATTTGAAGACCAGGAGGATGCTGGCAACCTCAGAGAGGCTAGATATTCTGGAGTGTAGGGAAAGCAGCTCGGGCATAAATGATGGAGAGGGAAGTGGGACTGGAAGCACAGACACTTTTCCCCAGAGGGTTCGCCATGAAGAGAAGGAGAGGGCAGGCTGGATTGCGTTGTTTGAGAGGGGACACACACAGGCAAGCGCTTGCTTACATGACAGCAAGAAACAAACGAAGGTGTATGCATGGCAGGGGAGATCTCTAACGCTCCCCTTCTCTTCTCTACCCAGGCCTGGGGCTCCCAGAATGTGGGGCCAGGCCCTAGACAGCAAGCCACCCAAGCCCAGGCGAGGGGCAGCCCCTGACAGGACAGGTCAACACACCCTGACTGAACACAGGAACCCAGACCAGCCCCCGCCTGGAGAAGCATGAACACTGGGTGCAGAGCTAGGTGAACCTACTGTGCACAGGACAAGTGCCTGAGGGCACGATTCAGGGCAGGGGGGCAGCCCTGAGGTTCTTTCTGAAGCCTCTGAGTCAAGGGAGTGTTGGTCACTCCATGGTTTTCAGCAACCCAGAAAGACTTCTCAGCAGCAGTAGCCCTTCCAGAGCCACCTTACAGAAGCACAGAGACTATTTCCAGCAAGACAGCAGCAGACTCTCAGCTATTTGGGGAAAGCAGCTAGTGGCCTGGGCCACCAAAAAGCTGAGGCGTCCTGGGTATGTAGTTCAAAGGATGTGTAGCATAAGAAAATCAGGCACTTCGCAGCACAAGAGAGAGGAAAAGTTCAGATGTGGCCTCTGGAGTCAGACACACCTTTCAAATCTCAACTCTGACATTTCACTGCTGGGTGACCTCAATTTCTTCATCTGTAAAATGGAGCTAATAATACCATTCTTAGAATTGTTTTAAGAGTAAATGAGATAATATTGGTAAAGATCAACCTGCCACACACGTTGGACTCAACTGGAAGATGGTAGTACAGTCATTATTTCCTTAGGGCCTTCGGGGCAAATGGGCCTACAGCCTGCCCTCCCAGCACCATGGCACCCCCAGCGCACTCACCCGGATGCCCCGGCTATAGCCGATAAGCTTGAGGATGCGCAGGGACTGCATGCCATCAGCGATATGCACGTAACTGAACTGTCTGCCCATGAGCTCGCGGACGGTATAGGGGAGAAGCATAATGATCATAACGATCACATCCAGCACGTTGTAGCCGTTCTTCCAGTAATTGATGGGGTCCACATAGAGCTTCATGGACAACTCAGATGTGCAGATGGACACAAAGAAGATCTCCGAGAGCTACAGGGGTAGCAAAGGTTGGAGAAGTCAGACCGAGCTGCACAGCCCTAGAGCTCTGGCCTGCTCCCTGCCTGAGCCCTGGAAGGGGTGCTCCTAAGTCACCCATGTGACAGAGAAACCCAGGCAGAGTTCCTGGCACACAGCGGACACTTAGTGTGCCTGACTCCCTTCCCCTTCTCTGTCCTTCCTACCCCGTGGCCCTATGCCTGGGGCTGGGTGTGACCCTGGGTACTTGGGAACGACTGCCTGGCAGACGGAATGACTGTATAGGCTCTAGCATACTGCAACTCAATCTGAATATAAGGTTTCCCAAGGGAAGGTCCCGAGAGTTTTCTGACCAACCTGAATATACAAACTTTTAGGAATATAGATGAAATACACAGATATCTACTTCTGTTTAATCTATTAACTTAATCATACATATTCAATCTGTTTCTGAAGAATATTCTTTTAGTTTATGAACCAATCTTCTTCAAATTCTTTTCATGCATCTACAACTCTAATGGCTTTGCTTTTACCAAGAAGTACTCTTTGTGTCATCTAAGTGTTTCCTTCCCATCACATCTTGACTATCACGCAATTCCATTCACTCACTGGAAGAGCTGTGATTGAGCACCCACCCTGTACCAAGCAAACATCATTTTAGGCACTGGGAAATGCAACAATGAGTAAGACAGAAAATGTCCAGCCCCCAGGAAGCTTACAGTCTAGTAGGAGAGACAGAAATAAATGCTGGAACAAATGTATATAGAATATAATGTCAGGCAGGAAGGAAAATAAACCAGCCAAAGGAGATAAAGGGACTCACCAGGTTGGAGGAGAAGAGGCAGTCCTAGCAGCTATTTTAGAAAAGATGGAAGCAACCAAACACAGAAGGACAAATATCACATGTTCTCACTCATCTGTGGGAGCTAAAAAAGTGGATCTCATGAAGATAAAGAGTAGACTGGTGGTTACCAGAGGCCAGGAAGGGCAGGGGATGAAGAGAGGTTGGTTAATGGTCACAAATATACACTGAGAAGAAATAAGACTTAATGTTCAATAGATCAATGAAGTGACTATAGTTAACATCAATCTATTGTGCATTTCAAGATAACTAGAAGAGAATAATTCAAATGTTCCTAGCATAAGAAAAAGATAAATATTTAAGGCAATTATCCTGATTTGATTATATGAATGTATCAAGTTATCACATGTAGCCCAAAATACGT